GTTAAATATTCTTGGCGTTGAGATAATACCGATAATGTTTTTATTAAAAAAAAATCTATATTTATACATTATTCAAACATATATGAATATTTACTTCCATCCATCAGGCAAGCCCACAATAATTTTTCAACCGTCCGACGCCAAGTCAAATATTTGAAATATAATCTATATTGTGTCGCCTGTTGATGAGACAGTTATCAAGATAGATATTAAGCTTTTTCATGTACATGATGTTTGTTTCTATTTTGAACTATTTCTACAGCCTAATGCTTTGGTAAATATAGAATACAAAACTTGCATTTTTGAAAAAATAACACTCAGTGTATTTTAATTTGTTTGAAAAGAAATTTTATTTGTTTTTCTTCCTGAATTCAAGAATATGAAGTTTTCCTTCCTATCCAGCTATTTTCATATGCTTACGTTCATATTTAAGCTGGAATGTGCGGGGGTATATTTGATAGCAAAGGACGTAATTCTAGAAAATGAAAATAGGACTTACCAGTTAATTTTATACATAAAAAATGTGGCCCAATTAAATGATGATCGAAAATCGAAAAAAAAAATTTTTTGAACAAAGAAAGATGGAAGAAGGGTAGGATAGTCTAGTTCAATCCTCTCTGCTAATTTCTAGATAATTAAAAAAAAATATAGAAATATGTTTTTATAATACTAATACTTACAGTATATTTTATTGTTTTATATATTTTCGATTTTAAGATAAAAAATAAACTACAATTCATTTTAAATAAGGAATCACTCCCTCAAGTTCTTAGCTTTTGTATTGAAACAGTCTGTCTATAAATACGGCCAATTATTTAAATTCCAATAACATCACAAACTGCATTGAACGTGACTGGAGCAAAGGCAGTAATTCTCTTTTAATGCCAACAAACCCGCTCCGGAAAAATATATTTTAACATCGTCGTTATTTCCTAAGCTCGAAAATTATTATGTTCAATTAGAAAGCATCGTTAGCGAGAGCAGTAAAGTTAACGTTACAGCAGTAAAACCCGGTGTTACGAATTTATGTATCTTAATGCTCCAAATTTCCTTAATTACATATTGATTTAACTATCCTACATTTTTAATTCCCGACGGTACGCGTCCGGCACTGCCTTTTTTGGAAATATATGATGCGGTACTTTAGAATCAAATTTAAGTAAATTGTATCTTGTTTTTTATTTTTTAAAGCAATAGATAAATTAGTGCTTTTATTTACACAGATTTGCATTCTTTTTTAATCTTGAAATTTGAGAAAACACCATTATTTATATTATCGCACACCTATCCATTAACCAACACAGTGCGATTTTCAATATTAATGTGGAAATCCTAATTTTTAGTTGAAGCGAAAAGTGCAGCGAAACATACAGCAACTAATAGATTAAAGTAACATTTAAAAAACATAAATTCCATATGGGAAAGTGATTTGCAGAAAAGTTTTTTGCATAGTTTTATTCAGAATTTGATTTGGACATATCCAGGGCGCAACAATGAGCCCTGTATCTCAATGAGTGACATTGTACTAACTCATATTTTTATTACTTGAATATTCATTATGCCTTTCCATATTAACTACTTGAAGTTATTTTTTATTCCGTTTCAAAAGAACGATCTTTTATTTAGATTGGCAAATATCAACCCTAATGTCAATGTGAATATGTGATTTTTAATCCATAGCCTCTACAAATTCTTAGTGAACTGCTTTTGAGCCAGCATTTGTCTTGGAACAAAATATTACACTGCAAATATTTTGAAAACCGTATGTTTACCGAACTAAATGCAGTAAAGTTTTTTTAGATGTCACTTAGTGTTATACAGGGTGATTAATTGTTGCATCTCGTAAATGCCCAAATACATATCTCAATAAAAAATTGTGCCAAAGAATTAATCTCCTATTTATAAAACCATCATCAAAATTGAATTAACAGTTCGCGAAGAAACCAATTTTGAAATTACGATCTGTTTTTATAGACCCCTATAATAAAATGCTGACATCTTGAAAAGGGTGGATTTTATCGCAGTAAATGTAATATAGTCTTATATATCCTGTATACATTATGTAAAAAAATTGAAAATAGTCGCATTCACCTCCTTAAAAAGCCCCTGAATTCAAGTTTTCACGTCAACATTTCGAAACTTTCTTGAGGTATAGAAACATAACAATTTAGAAAATTAAATACTCTTCTCATTCTCACTAATGAGAAACATCTTTCTAAGGAATATTTGGCTCAAATGCATAGATAGACCCCAAATAGGCATAAGTAATGTTCCAAAACTCTTCTAAAATTTTTACATTTCATTAATTTAAATATGCACAGTTATATATGCTAACATCATTTATCTGTGAAAGTACTATACCCACTTATTCTGCTATTTATGAATTCGCTTTTTCTTTTCGAGTGCGAAGGAGATGTACAACCTCTACACAGTGTTTTTTTTTGCTTTCGACAGAATTGAGGAGGTAAAAGGGTTAAAAAATAGTCGAATTCCCGTTAGTGACCCCTAGAGTGTGGGGTAGAGATTCGACCTTGAAATTCTATATTCGATGATAAACTCAAAGTATCAGTTCTATGGAAACCGCAACGAAGACGAAACGCGGCATCCATTTGTATTATAGGGAACGCCCCGGGACCGTTGGAAACAGATCAAAATCCACGAAAACGTCAGTAATTTCGAAAGTGCTGCCAAATCCTCCCGGTAATTTCACCGTACGTCAGGAATTTTTTATCGTGCACGGAATCCGCAGCGAAAATTCGAGTTTAGAATCGAAAATTAGGCGCGTCAATTGTTAAGGGCTTCGTTCCAGAAAAAAGGAAAGAAACATCATGCTATATCCGCGCATAAGGGAATAAAAGTCTGCTTTTATTTAAGAAAATAAACGTATCCACACAAATATTAAATATCGTCCCGTTATCGTAAAACTATCAAAAATCGTTATTAATAATTAAAGGAGGCGGCTTTTAGTGATGAAAATTCATATAACTCTATATACATATATTTAACTCTACCTGATGCTCTAAATAATAATATTGATCGTCAACCCTTAATTCCAGATACTCATGATTAATAAAGGGGAATTATTCTCTGTCTTTTGCAGAATTTTAAGTTTTAAACATTCGATTTATTGTTTTTTAAATATATTTCAGTTGTGTTGTCATTTCTAAATGCCCACAGAACAGATGCTTTGACGCTTTCTTATTGAATCCTCATATATACTCGTATATCATTAATTTAAATGCCTGTGTTCCGGCACTCCATTTAGTAAATGGAGTTCAGGAATATCTGATATTGGATGTTATTTATGATTTTTTTCTATAATAGATCGTGCTATGAGTGACGCGATTGCGGTTGCTTAGATGGCCACTAGGTGGCTTTTAATGTTATTAAATAGTCCTAAATAGGTATCCAAACCAGTGAAAACCGCATCTCAATATTTTTATCCTAACTTAAAATATGGATAAATGTATTTAAAGCAAAAATGAAAACTGAATTTTGGACGAAATTTCAGCTTTTACGGGATGTTCTTAAAGTAAAACTATCACCCACTTCCCAAATGAAAAATTTACTCATTATTTAGTATGCCAAATGATATTTAAAATCAAAATAAAACGTAATTATTTATATTTATTACTTTTTTACAATTCCTTGGAAGGGCACCAAATTACCCCCGTATCTGACATTTTTACGTTTTGACATGCTTAGCAGTTTTGAAATATTTAGTATTACCACATCAACAATCAAATGTTCGGGACTAATTAATTCTATTAACTGTTGTTGTACTAAAATGTAGAAAACTATTAAATAATAAATAAAACACCTCTTTTGATAGAAATAATTCATTAATAATCATCAAGTTTGCCATGAAAACAAATTTCATTTTTATCTGACCAAACGCTACTCATCTTTCAGGCCGTTATTTGATGCTTGTCAAAGTCTCTTGATTGTCTACCGTTCGTGAATTGCTGTTGCATTAAAAATGTCTTATTTAAATTCATCGTAATCAGTGCCCAGAAGAAAAAGAAGAAGAAAGAATGAAGAATAATAGTGATTATGTTACCATACATTTTACTATTTAAATTCAATAATTATTAAAATTAGTTAGTCTTCAACAATTTCATTAATATCTTCACAGTGTTGTTAGATCAGGTCTCTTCGAGAATGGGCGAGTTTGGTTAGTTATATACTAATTGAAATCGGACAAGGATGTGAAAATGTAAGCTACTATGTAAATTTTTGTGTGGATAACACCAATTAAAGGACAATTTTATTTTAAATATCATTTGTCATCCTAAATTTACATATTTCTTATTTATTTTTATTTATTTGGAAAAACAAATTTTAATAATAACTTGCAAGGTGGAAATTTGTCCCAAAATTCATCTTGTTTCTGAGCGTTGCATTCTGTTATTCATATTTTAGGTCAGGATGGAGATATTGAGATGGGGTCTTTACTGGGTTGTTGTCTGCTTATTTGACGATTTAATCATGTAAGAAATATCATTGCATTTATTCTTCTTTTAGAAATTTATTGCTTTTGAGATTATGTCGGACAACGTCGCCTGGTAGCAAGTAATTGTAATGGCGAAGCGCAAATGTTAAATGGTTATATAGTTAGTTAATAGTTAAACAATTTAAGAAAACTACTTTTCAAGTAGTCCAAGTTTACTAAAACAGGTTAAGTTTTTGGGAGGTATGGACATTTATTTGCAGGGCAAACATTATTAAACAAAAAATATTGAATTCGTATTAGCTTTGAAATAGTATTCATTTTAACTGTGGTTAACAGTAGAAATATTTGTGGAAACTGAGTTTTATATTTCACGATGAAAATTACGGTCCCTGGTGGCTAGTTAATTTTCCTATTACCTAGCCCGTTGCCTCTACACCCGGTACAAGAATCCCACGGTAGCGAGATCCTTTATATTTTTTAAAAACGAAAAATACATTTCGTTTCCCGGGTTCCGAGTTTAGTAGAAAAAATTAATCGAAAAACTCACCGAAATAAGTAATTCCCGTACTACGACCGGAACCGCGAACGCCACACTGTCTTAACAAAAGAGGACACACACACAAAAATTAGCGCGTTCTACTCGCAAGGCCGTTTTGCCCTTCCACGATCGGACGTGGCGAAGAAAACAAAATTTATCCTAACGAATTGTTGCGCACACCGACGGGGAATACCCTAACGCGGTAGCGAAACCAGTTCAAAAATTTCAGTCGTTCAAAAATATAAAATTTCGCTAAATATACGGAAGAAACTGGTCCTCAACCAGTTTGACCGTATTTGCATTACACCGTGCGGTAAAACAAGTCACCACGATATAAAGATCGCGAGGCGGGGTTATTTAAAACGTATTGTCACCTTGAAACGCACATTCGTATATGAAATATGTCTTTCCGCTTTTTTTCTTTTGGTCGACGGTACTGAGGTAAAGTCGTGGAAATATAGGTCCGGTTTTAGATAAAAACTACAATGGAAATTATTAAAACGGCAGTTTAACAGCGAATTTGGGAGTTGAAGTCTGTTTAGTTCCAAGAAAAATAACCAATTTGGTTTTGGAATTTACTTCAATTTAATATATTTTTTAAATCGCTGCTTAAAAAAGTGGAAAATCTCCTGACTTTAGTGCGTTGAAGCAGATATTATTTACACTCAGTAGTCTGCTACTAGAGTCTGTTTCAGAATAGTGTAGAGTAATGAAACCCCATTAGGTATGCAAAGGGACCACATAGTGAACAAACGAATAAGCCGCTTTCATTGCAAAATTCTAGAGTGCAGGTAGTACCATCCGAGATTGGGCAAAATTTATCGGTTTTGCACATTGTTGAAATGGTCTGCCAAAGGTGTTCGGGTGGAATATTTTTAAAATAATTCGTGAATAAATATTGGTCAATGGTCCTTAAGTTGCATAGTTTCATCTATGTATTTATATTTATAATTTACTCATGTATACAGGTATATTTTTGGCTTCACCGTGAAGTGCTAGATGTATAATGTCATATGTTATATACTTAAATCTAACCGTTTTCGACCAATCTTGAATTTGATGTCAGAAATGATGTTTAAGGGCTTTATAATTATTAACAATGTTTCCTATAAAGGAGCCATTTAATTAAATCAAATATGAGTTGATATTTTGGATGTAAACTGAGACAAGGTGAGCAAAAATGAAATTATAAAAAATATAATAAGTAATTTTCTTCAAATAGAAAGCCCCTATTTTTATAATTTATTCTCAGCAAATCTCAAGAAATTATAAAAATATAATGCCAAAACTAAGTACTAACTAAGTAACTACTTATTTTCGCTACAGCAACAATTTTAGGTAGAAAATCAAATTTCGTTCCTATTCTATTTTTATAGCTTCGATCGTCAACTAATAACAAAATTTAACAACCGTATTATATATATATATATACATATATATATATATATATATATATATATATATATATATATATATATATATATATATATATATATATATATATATATATATATATATATATATATATATATATATATATATATATATATATATATATATATATATATATATATATATATATATATATATATATATATATATATATATATATATGATGACACTATACTCCGGGATATCATCCGTTCGCTCGTTGAACTCCGACTGGAATCCTGCATCCGACTGGAATCCTGCAAATCCTGCATCCGACTGGAATCCTGCAGACGTTTCGCCAAAATCTCACTTGGCATCTTCAATGCTCGCGCTCCGAAAACACTTCGAACACGAGTGCCAAGTGAGATTTTGGCGAAACGTCTGCAGGATTCCAGTCGGATGCAGGATTTGCAGGATTCCAGTCGGATGCAGGATTCCAGTCGGAGTTCAACGAGCGAACGGATGATATCCCGGAGTATAGTGTCATCACATTTTTCCATCCGTGAATCAATACGTGAGAATATATATATATATATATATATATATATATATATATATATATATATATATATATATATATATATATATATATATATATATATATATATATATATATATATATATATATATATATATATATATATATATATAAATAAATATATATATATATATATATATATATATATATATATATATATATATATATATATATATATATATATATATATATATATATATATATATATATATATATATATACATATATATATATATATATATATGTATATATGTGTTCGAAGTGTTTTCGGAGCGCGAGCATTGAAGATGCCAAGTGAGATTTTGGCGAAACGTCTGCAGGATTCCAGTCGGATGCAAGATTTGCAGGATTCCAGTCGGATGCAGGATTCCAGTCGGAGTTCAACGAGCGAACGGATGATATCCCGGAATATAGTGTCATCACATTTTTCCATCCGTGAATCAATACGTGAGAATATCATACACCTTTACGGGAAGGAGATCTTTACAGCCACCAGTGTTCGAAGTGTTTTCGGAGCGCGAGCATTGAAGATGCCAAGTGAGATTTTGGCGAAACGTCTGCAGGATTCCAGTCGGATGCAAGATTTGCAGGATTCCAGTCGGATGCAGGATTCCAGTCGGAGTTCAACGAGCGAACGGATGATATCCCGGAATATAGTGTCATCATATATATATATATATATATATATATATATATATATATATATATATATATATATATATATATATATATATATATATATATATATATATGTATATATGTATATTACAATGGGAAAACACCAATTATTTCATAAACTAAGAATTTCCGGGATAGACTTATACAAAGTCATAATTTTGAATGCTAGATCCGATAAAAGCATAAAAATAAGGGGTTCCTTTTGAAAACATTCATTTTTGCGTTTATATAATTTATTTTTTGTCTTTATTTTTGCTCACTCTGTATTAAGTTACAAAAAGAAATAAAAACTAAATATTTGCCCCCTTGCTCCTTCCGTAAGTAGCCCGTCCAAAAATAAATAATTAAGGCTCCGCTATGTGAAAAAATTATTAATTATTTTATGAGTTTATAAAATTATGTTATATGTGGAACATGAGGGGTCTAAAAATTCCTGATTTTCAAGATTCAGGGTGATCAAGGTTTGAATAATGTACATATTTAAAAACCGTTTTTTCTATCTGGTGATTCAAGGAGCAATAGGTTTTCTACTTAAACATAATACATAAAGACAATTAAACAGGACACAATAAAAATCGTTTTTTTGTTTTTTATTTTAACTTCACTACCAATAGTACACGTCAATTGTCAATTCCATTCTTCAACAGCCACACATTTCTTTTGCCAATTGGGCAATATAGTTGTAAACTAAATCGTTTTCATTAAAACATCACATTATAATTTAGTTTCGCTCTCTTTTAAACTACTAACCAAAATTACGAATAGAGGAGCTACTTGCACACTTTTAACCTTTCTCTTACGTTGGGTGGTTGTGAGGTAAATTGTAAACAGTTACCTTAATATTGTCAAAAAAATTCGCAATAAATATTAGAGTAATGTCTCTTTAAAACAACTATTCTCCTTTACCTTGTATCAAACTCAAAAAACTCAAAATTTCTATTTATTTATATACATTCTTCTATTAAATTTTGACTTATAAAATCATTGGTTTATTAATGATTGATTGTATTATATAAGAATCAGTCCAGCCCATTTACCACTGATGAAAAAAAAAAACAAACAAAAGAAAATAAAACTTTTTTGCAGATGTTTTATTCATTCATACACACAAGTTTTGTAATAAGTTTTCGATAATTGTGTGGAGATGTATTTAAAAATTTTGATAAAACAGTAAACCTGTTCACAATGGATGCAATATATATGTTTATAATGAATGTAATAAGGACGGATGTTCAAAGTAAAAGATCCAAAATTAAAATATCAATAAAGATATTCTTAATATCAAACAAGTAATTTTAATTAATCGACACCTTCTGGAAGTTCATTCTCGTAACCAATTTAAACAAAGAACATTATAAATATATCCTTGTCTTGCACGGCAAGGGGCGCTCCTACACTCCTATACATACTTGCTTTCTACAAATGTCGGCGTATAACATTTATTATATCCGTGAGGGCCTATTTATTATAGATGGGGAATTAGATTGTATGGTTTATAGTCACATTTCTAAATAAATTTATGGGAATTAATTTGTCCCAGTTAAATGGTATCTATAAAAACATTATACCTAATATCACTAGAAATTAAAAATATTTAAGTTCAAAAATATATCGAAACGAATGTCGAAGAAGCCCTAGTTTTTTAGATAAATATATAAGTCGAGAGCCACATGCCGTAATGGACCTGAAAATGGTTTTTTATTAACATTTCCGAAACATGTGGAGAGAAAGTTTTGAATTATTAGTATTTTGGTCAATTTGGCATACTGAATGTAATCCAAAAAAAAATGTCAAATTTTGAGGGGTATAGAAAAAAAAAGCAATAACTTTTTGTAGGTTAACTATCAGACTTTTTTATTTTAAAATGTGGGTTCTGTTATGAGAAAACCGTACACTTGGATACAAATGGATTTCAAAACTACACTGTTTAGCATGCTCATCTTATTTACTCATCTAAAATTGAAATGTAGGCCTTGAAATAGGATTGATAGGTGAATTATATGCTAATTTTCATTTGCTTTCTCATTACAGGTTATTTTTATGAAAAATGAAATAAAATGTACCAGCAGGTTTAATTCATAATTGCGTATTGAATGACTAACAATTAAAAACTCGTTATTTTGAGGAATCTCGAAACAATTGTCCCTAATTGTTTTTCTAGCAACATTAATTCAGTTTAGTAACTTTTCTGGACTATCTACATCTGTGACATAAATAGATCCCCGTAGAAATCAATCTAGTGGGTTTAAGCGAGCTCGCCAATTTACTGCGCCAGCTCGACCGATCCACTTGTTTGCGAAATATTTATGGAAGTATTTGCTTTCCTTTCATCCTGTGCAAATGCTGAAAGAATATCTCCAAGCCACTACGCAAGGGAATATTTTGCAACAATTCGGACAGTTCAATTTAGTGAGAATTAGTATTTAATTAATCTGTTTGGAAAAATAAAAGTCCAAGGATTCTATTCAAATATTGATAGAAAAATTGTATTGAAACATGGTTGTTTGATCAACTCTCAGATTCTCATACTCTAGAAATGCGCTTTATTTTTGAAAATGTTGCCTCGTCAGACCATAACATTTGGAAAGTTTTCGGGTTTTATATTCTCTGCTTT